AATAACTTATTTTACATTAAATACGGTACATGTGACGTCATGAACTATAGCTGATTCAGGTGTTCACTCCAGAGTTCAATAGTGAATACAAGATTTAATACGGTAAATAATACTGGGAGCTGCATTCAATGACTGAATACACTATACTAAATTCATATAACAGCTATGCGCAAAATGGTTAAATACGGTACGTGACGTCACTGCCGAGCGCTGGTGAGTGCGCCGTTATGTAACAGTGCCGCCTGTGCATGCCGCGCTATGCGGGCCGAGCTTATACAAATCACACATGAATGAACACCGTATTTGAAACTTGAAATATATATGAATTAAAACTGATTATTAGTGAACGTATATTCTATTGTGAATGTTTATGAACCTAATTGGAGAATGGGCGATCTTTTTCAATTTATCTTCCCTTCACTAACCCGCTAGGTGCGCTGACCCGGACGGTCCAACCTTAAACTGACGTCGCATGTGGTATGCGCGATACGAGCACTACATGTTACTATGACGCCTATAGACAGTTAACTAGTATAACCTTCACCTTTGTCGGCAACGGTCACGCTCGTGTGTGGACAGCATATCTTTTCGCCTAAACAATGATTTATCTATTGCCATGTCCGGAAATAAATGTTCCTTGATTTAATGATACATCACGATGACCACGACTGATTATATTGTATAGTTATCCACTAGATAGGCGTTCGAAGCGATGCGTTGAGATCAGCTGATCGTTCATCCCAGGTCGCTTTGTTGACGTTTTGCAATCGGTACTGAAAGTGTTGCCCTTGATGTATGAATATGAAAATTAAGTAGATTTTGTATACGTTCCTATATCTATGTTGTAGCATCGCCGAGCAGGCTACATCATATGCATGCATTTCAGTATGTACAACGGTGAGGCGATACGGTACGCGAAATGTGAAGGTCTCATGCAACGTTGCCCGTAGCCTCAATGTTGTGAATATTGACAGCAACACATGTAAGTATTTGTCAGATATATAACAGAGAGCAATGAGGAATGTTCTCAAGAAATTGTAAGAGTAACAGGCACTGTAAAATTACGTCATAAACTAGATATCATGTTACAATGTTCAAAATAAAAGAAATGGAAATCACTGAAATCTGTTTTGATATTTAAGGGTTATGGTGCATGTTTGTATACAAGGATTTTATGTATATGAACGGTATCTGTTTGTTGCCAAATACTACCATGATTATATTTCAATATGATCAATGAAAGATATATATTATTTTGGCCTTAAAAAAATTCAGACACAGAGGACCCTACATGTTAGTTAAAATACATATTCAAGAGTACAAACTACATTTTTTAAAAATAAAACAGTATATTCATACTTATTGCTAATTTCTATAATGTTGATTGTAGGAACAATGCAGTGTCTGCATCCAGTTTGCATTGACAATAATCATATGATTGTGACACAGATAAAGCTGATTCTTAACTTCATTAGGCCTTGCTTTTTTATGTTTCCTTGTTCTAAACTGATGTTTCAAATTCCAACATAAACAAATTATTAATGTTTTTTCTTTTTTCTCTTCACACCAAAAGATATCTTCATTGCACAATGACTCTAATTATTTTATTTAATATCTTGGCACACTTGTGCATGTCTACTAGTATTTGATTACACATGCATGACTTTTTAGCTGTCATCTGTTTCTGAACTGAATTTTATGCTGATAAAGATAAGTAACATAAAAAAGGGACTGGTATTCTTTCAGGTTTGGAGAATCAATCAATTCATAGTGAAAACATTTTTAATTTCTTACATAAGTTACTTTGATCTTGATAAGATCAAAATAGATACAAATTAAATTGAGGACATTTAAATTATGCAGTCTTATTCATTTCAGCCAGTCTGTCTAAAATCCGGTCCTATTTTTCAGGCAATAATAAATGAATGAAAATTTAAGAAAAATATACCTTACCTGAGTGAATCAGTCAATATGCATATTGACTGAAATATTCAGTCAAAATAAATATTGGGTCTGATTATAGACACTGACTGTAACATATGTAAGTATAATCTGTTATATGCAAAAACAAATAACATAAATAAATCCATTTATCTACATGGAATGACTGTGGGGTTTAATTTGCATTTATTTAACCATCAGAAGATTTGATGATAAACTTTCATATTCATATTTTCATATAAAATTCATATTTGCTATATGATAATAATATCTACAAAATATACTTTATACTACAGGTGTCTTGAAGTACTGTTGAATGAAAATCAGGATACTTAGATACAGCATGATAGTGTGTTGGTTTGTATGGGAAATAATTTGTCAACATTAAAATAAATAAAATGTTACTAAAACAAGAAGATAAAACTATGATTTAGATCTATTTATGCATCATACACATTTTGTGGGGTAGTCAGTATGATTTGTTGTTTGTTAGGACACATCTCGGTAATTAACTACTATTTTAAGAGCATGAGTATCAGAATTCTGTAAGAAATGATGGATCAACTAATTAACACCTGTTATGACTCAGAGCACTTAATGGTGGGACACGTGTTATAAGGGGCAGAATAATATGGGTAAATCTCTTATTTCAATGTATGATGACTGGTATGTACATGTATATTGCAACTGAGTAACTGAGTGCTTAGATCTAATAGATGCATGGTAGATGTTCATTTGGCCTATTTCTAAAAAAATAATATAAATTCAAATATCCAGATGCAACTTTAATTTTGATATAAAAAGTAACATTTAAAATCAGTTGTTTTATTATTTTGAACTATATTTATTCGTAAAATATTTGTAAAGGCGCGGATGAATACTTACTATATAGATCATTGGTAAAGGCCTGTCAAAGTTGTCTGTGTGCTGCAAATGTTTGCGTATCACAAATTTTATTAAATTGAAGTCCATGGTAGTATTTGTTGAGATTTGAATGCTTGAATTGTTGTGGGAAATAACACAAAGGCTGATAAATAAAATGAGTTTGCATTATTTCATCGATGCAATATGTTCGCCCAGACTGACAGAATGCCTCGCTGTTTTCTGACGTAGAAAATACCGTGGCAATATACCATTTTTCATGACGTTTTTCCCGCTATATTCCAAAGTGACAATTCGTCTTGTAGATGAAGACTCAACAAATGTTGATATTATAACTAATAATCACTACAAAATATGTGCTAGTTAAAAATATTCAGTTGTAAACCACCGTTTTTGAACGAAGGTGCAACAGGATAACTCTTTAGCTTGGCTCCGTCTCTACATGTCAGTAGTTGTCGCAGCGCGCATTGATCCGGGAACCAGACCGGAAGCGACAGTTTGGACCGTCGCTTACACCATTTCAAAAGGAGAGTTATTGCCCTTTGGAACATAAAGATCGCCCATTCGCCAAACAGAGAAATTGCTTGTGAACTGTAATTTAGAAATGAATATAAACACTGCTATAGGAAAGCCTGTTTCATTATAACTATTCTACAACATAAAACTACTACGTTATCTGTAGCGTCCAAATTATGCTAAAAGTATAGTACCTGAGATATTCTATACAGCGTCCATTTATCTTACCGAATGGAAATAATATGCATAAATTGGAAAACATAAATTTATCAGGCATTGCTTAATTTGCGTGCATTTATCTAGAACAAAAAGTTACGTTCAAGTATTGTAGTCTAGTGATATGCCCTCACAAAGTAGTTACCTAATGAGAAATATATTTTTGGCTACAGATAAGAATAATATACTTTGCTGTACTTGCACTGATCTGGTTTTGTATATAAAGAATATATTTGATGCATGAACATAGGATATAAGTTATATTCTAGAACGGTATTTATCAGGCATAAGAACGCAAACAAATATACATAACGTAAATTATATCGAGTAACTGGATCATATTAATGCATATTGACGCATTTAATGTTGTTGCATTATAAAACCACTCTACTAACGATACAGCATACAATAAGGTAAATAACACGACACACATATGAATACTGGTCCTACCGATACATGGACAAATAATTCATACATTATTATAATGCACGCTATTCACATTGAAACATGATAATTATAAAGCATCCACGACACCTGTGATTAATAATTACAAATGTATTTGCCTAGTAGTTTTAACCCGATAAATAAACATGTGGGATACGAACGCTGATTGTGGAATAGTAATATTTCTACATGCGACGCACGCATATAAATTACTGTTGTTAATTTGTGTCAGTAAAACTTGAATAATATGCAGCTTAGATTCGCACGGCATTTCGAATACATAGAGTATAAGTTCATTGTTCAAGCATGATATTCATACAAAATTAAAAACAATTTTAAGCAAGTTCAACCTAAATGGCAAAGTAACAAGTAAAAGTGACTTACCTTCAAAGACAAACAGAGAGAGGTTCTCAGGCAAAGCAGGAATGACTAACAGTCGATTTCCCCCTATATTTATACCTGAGACCTCCTTTGTTAATCTGAAGGCAAGTCTACACGTGCATGTCCAGTTTGAAATTTGAGACTTTGGACTAATGAAGACTGGACATGTTATACAATTTTGTATGATGGGTTTGGTCTGTTAATAGCCAAAGCCGACGGTCAGTTTGGAAAGTTGAGTAACAGAAGATTATAAATGCCGATAGAATCTCTCAGCTCTTGTTTGGTTTCGCGTTTTCAATTTTCTAGTTTGGTCAGTTGACGCTAAATAGCTGATAACGGTACACTGGTAAGTGCCGAACGCGCTGACCACTACCAGTTGTTATTCAACATGTAATTAAAGTCTCGCCCACCGACCTGATTGTGGCGGCGTAAATCTGAAGTGCCAGATGTTGTAATGCAATTTCTTATCGCTAGTATGTACCAACAGGTCTTAAATGGTTAACCGACAACTTATGAATTGAAGGCGAATTTCACAAAAAGTTGAATAAAATATAGCAATTTTAGCACTGTTACAGTATCACTAGATACATTATATCAACGAATAACACAAACAGACCCAATTATCCCAAAGTCTTTGTCTTTTAATTGTGTGAAAGCAGCTCAAATAAAAAATAAAATAATAATAAAAACATGACAAAAATCGATTAATGTGGAATACAACGAAGGAACGTTGTTGTCGGATACCGTACTCTGCAACCTTGAAACATGTACATACTAAGTAAAATGGAAATAAGAACAATAACTAAAAGTCTACGTGATTATCAACATGTTGAAATAGTACCAGAATTGGTAATGGGATGAATAGTGACTGTCGTGCATGGATAATGTGAAAATAACATTAACACTCATTCCATTGTGTCCTGGATTATATTCGAAATGTATGGGCCCTTGTCTTTCACGTAATGACACAGTCTGTTTGGACCTGAGCACGTTTGACAAAGCGATCTTAGCTACGACTATATTGATGCAAAGCAGTACTGGTTGTAGCGCTGAGATTGCTCGTTGGAACGACAAACCGGTGTATGATTTACATTTTAATGTCATCAGGCACCATTGATTAAGACGACATTCCGAACACATTTCTGTGATTAAACTTTTGGGTCACATCGGTTTTGCGGAACGAGCAGTAGTTAGAAGCACGTGAGTCGTCCTACGATCTTTGTATTTAGTAAACATTGTACAACAAACATCGCGGATCGATGAAACCTGAAGCCCCTCGAGAACACATACTGATTCCACGTGTAACGACCTGAGAAACATTGGTCAAAATAGTCCGATCTGGCTTGCAATCCACTGACAGCATAAATTCAAAGCCTGACACAACAGATCAGTCATCGTGTTGAAGATATTATAGTGTCGTGCACTGGAAACGTGTAGCCGATGCTTAAAGTGAGTGAGTTTGTTTCAATGCCGCTTTGAAATGTGACGGCGTGACCATGCTTAAAGTGAGTGCGTTTGTTTCAATGCCGCTTTGAAATGTGACGGCGTGACCATGCTTAAAGTAGGTGGACTTGCAGTGGGTGGGCGATGGGGAACGCCAACAGTTAGTACGATCAAAGTTTAGTACAGTAGTATTCATTTCCTGGATCCCCACAGCCCTGCTTTAACCCGACATGGAGTGAAGGGAAGGAAGGATTTGTGAACACTGCTGGTGGAGGTGAAAGGCTCTTCAGGCCCATTTCGTTACGATCAGATTGAAGTTCTTCTTCCTCCGTTTTCTCTTCTTCTTCTTCCTCATTCAAATCTTCCTCGTCTGTTTGCACCACTGCCACATACGCGGACAGAACATCGGAATCATAGGCTGAGTTTGTCTCGTCCCCGGTATCACACCACGACTCATCCCAAACTCTGCTGCCTTCACCGCTCTGCTCCACGTCTGCTACAGTTGTGTGCTTGCTGCCTTCGCCGCTCTGCTCCACGTCTGCTACAGTTGTGTGCTTGCTGCCTTCGCCGCTCTGCTCCACGTCTGCTACAGTTGTGTGCTTGCTGCCTTCGCCGCTCTGCTCCACGTCTGCTACAGTTGTGTGCTTGCTGCCTTCGCCGCTCTGCTCCACGTCTGCTACAGTTGTGTGCTTGCTGCCTTCGCCGCTCTGCTGGTTGCTTCCAATAGTCTGCTCCACATCTACGACAGTCGTCTGCTCGTTGACGGTCGCTGGCGGGGATTCGGGAGGAACAGATTCTCGAGAGTTGAGCCGGTTAAATTTTGAACGGGGACAGGGCGTTGGAAGCATGGCGTTGTATTGTTGAGCATTGCGGGCCGCAGCCTCTGGGGTCAGACTCCCTCGCCCGCTGTCGAAGCTCTGGCGATGATTTGCGGGCGGGACCTCCTACAAGAAGATGTACAGACTAGGTAAGGGAATAAATCATGATGGCAAGGATTGTATCAATGATCACATTTGCTCTACACTGTTGTCTGCTCTGTAACACCACAAGCTATATGACGTCGGCCCGTAATTAATATTCGAGTCTTGGCCAGACAAACCCGTGATTGATATCATGAGCATCGCCCCGCACAGTTTGGACACGATGACGCCCAATCACCCATGTTACAGAGCCTGATCCCCCGATACATTAAGCCGCACCTTACGACCAGCATATGTTGCTGGGGACCTGTCCAACGACGTGTTACCTCCATGTTGTTACTGAATACGGTTCTACGCCGCCGCTAGCATAATCCAGCAACATTACAGGGGACACCAAGAATAGGTTTACATATCGGACTAATAGTAATGGGAATCGAACCCAGATCTTCAACGTGGCGAGTGGACAATTTAACCACTAAGCAACCCTGCCAAGTAAGCCTCGCAACTCGCATACATGTTTCCGACATGACCAACTTTCAGTTTCGATTGAGTTTATAACTTTGTTGCCTGTCCTACAACTGTAAGAAGTGTAAATGGTTCCCAGAAAAATATACTGAGAGGCAATGAAAAAGCAATCAGCAGTTTTTATCATAGAATAGTAACAGAGGAGAAAACAAAGTGATTAGTTATTGAAAAATGTTACTTAGCCTGATAATTGTCTTCTGTCGTCGTGTGTACAGACATGTTTGGTTGTGTGCACACCATCCTGAATAAAACGCCATAACACATCTTCAGCTTGCAGTCCGAAATGCACGTGCACGACATGAATTTTGAATTGCATGCAAACAGTACACATTGCTCACCTATAAAATCACATCATGATTTGAAACTGGTGTCCATATGCACCATGCCACGGTTAACCCAAGATCAGCGACACCAGGCCATTTGAATGCTGCGAGCTGGCACTCCAAAGACTGACGTTGCACAACACTTTAATGTCCATCCATCAACTGTCAGTCGTCTCAGAAGGCGCTACCAAGTCACAGGCAGGGTGGAGGATCGGCCAGGCCCAGGTGTTCAACGGGTGACAACAGGACGTCAGGATCGCTATATTGTCATGCAACACCTCCGACGTCGATTTCAGACAGCTGTACAGACTGCTAACAACAGTATTGGAAGCAGAGGAAGATCCATCAGCAGTCGAACTGTGCGTCGACGTCTTGCTGCAGCAGGGATACGGTCAAGTCGACCGCATAATACCAACGCATAATCACGGACTTCATCGACAGCGATGGGCTCCAGCAGCTGGTTTTCTGGGCAACGTCGGTTGGAGGAATGTTGTTTTCTCTGATGAGTCTCGCTTTAACGTCTCTTTCCCAGATGAACGGCTCCGTGTGTACCGACGTCAAGGTGAACGTTATGTGCGACCTTGTGTTATTGAACGAGATCGCTTTGGTGGTGGAGGAGTAATGGTTTGGGGAGCCATAAATGCTGTGTTTAAATCACAGCTTGTTATTGTTCAAGGTAACTTGACGACACGACGTTACGTGGCTACTGATCTACATCCAGTTCTTCTTCCTCTCTTAAGACAGCATGGTGGAAACCGGTTAGTGTTTCAGCATGACAATGCTAGGCCCCATACTGCCATCCTGACACGGAATTTTCTTCAGAGAAACAACGTGGAGGTCATGCAGTGGCCCTCAAGGTCACCAGACATGAACCCAATTGAGCACCTGTGGGACGAACTTGGTAGGCGTGTGAGACGACAGCAGATTCCGCCCCGCAATGTTGCTGAGCTCACTCAGGCATTGAAGTATCACTGGAACGCAAACCCGTCTCATTTCATCCGTCGTTTACGTGATTCCATGCCAAGGCGTTTGCAAGCTTGCGTTCGTGCTCAAGATGGACACACCAGATACTAAGGGTCTGTTCAATCTCTCTCCTGTAAATGGGGTTGGAACTGATGATATTGGACACTGCTTTAAGCAGAATGTCTCTATCGTGATCAGTATTTGCTAATATACTTAATACAAGCTTTGAAATGTTCTTATGTTAATAAAATTCACGTTTGAAAATTGGATTGCGTTTTCATTGCCTCTCAGTATACTCCCAATCATTTTTTTTTCAAATAAATTACTCAACATTGCTGCACTTACACAAGTCTTGGCCCAACAACATCCTCCTTGGATGCCTACATCGCAATCCTATACTCACACTTTCATAATCTTTTTAATTCTTACGCTTTCATTCATTTTGAAAAATCCACAAAAAGACACAGAGATGTGTTTGGGGATGGTAAATATCCTGCATTGGGACTGGACATTGTATTCACGAGTCTTGGCGAGGTACAGTAAATACAAAGTGTGTAATATAATACAGGATATTTACCATCACAAAACACAACCCCGATAACCTCTTATTCAAATAATGTTCGTATTATATTCTGTTGTTGAAACATCGTGAGAAAAACTGCTTTGTTATGTAGATGACATTGAACATCGTGAGTAAAACTACTTTGTTATGTAGATGACGTTGAACACCGCGAGTAAAACAACACTGTTATGTAGATGACGTTGAAACATCGTGAGAAAAACTACTTTCTTATGTAGATAACGTTGAACATGGCGAGGAAAACTACACTGTTATGTAGATGACGTTGAAACATCGTGAGAAAAACTATACTGTTATGTAGATGACGTTGAACATCGCGAGTAAAACTACTTTGTTACGTAGATGATGTTGAACATCGCGAGTAAAACTACTTTGTTATGTAGATGACGTTGAACATCGGGAGTAAAACTGCTTTGTTATGTAGATAACGTTGAACATGGCGAGTAAAACTACACTGTTATGTAGATGACGTTGAAACATCGCGAGTAAAACTACTTTGTTATGTAGATGATGTTGAACAGCGCGAGTAAAACTAGTTTGTTATGTAGATTACGTTGATACATCGTGAGAAAAACTACTTTGCAATGTAGATTACGTTGATATATCGTGAGAAAAACTATTTTGTGATGTAGATGACATTGGTACATCGTGAGACAAATTACTTTGTTATGTAGATCACGTTGAAACATCGCGAATAAAACTACTTTGTTTTTTAGATAACCTTCAAAAGTATGTATTTACTTAATCCAGGTAAAAAAGTATCATGGAAAATGTTTTGCGAATTCGGATACAACTTCTTATTAAAAGTCACCATTCGCTAAAAACGCATTCTAATATAAGATTTTTAATTGTTGTCAATTTTGTGACAACAGGTAAATATTATTATCTAAACTATAAAAAGCAGTAAAACTGATTTGTATGCAGTGTAACCAAAAGTTCCTTTGTGTAACATACTTTGGGTCTTGGTGCTGAGACTGTTTTCTCTGGGGCAGATGGAGGGTTTTTGGTAGTAGCACCGTCATCCTACACACGAGTAAGGAAAGCGAAACAGACAAGAAATGGTTAATCGATAGTGATATTTTTGATACAGGTATCATAGTTGTGTTTTGGACCTTAAGTCTGCCTAGTAACGTTACAGGTTTCTGGTTTGTTAGAGTCTATTCTAGACTAAGTATATTCGTTAGTTGCTAAAGGCAAATAAAACTAAATATTGTTTGCTTTTGACTTGTTTTATATGAATAACAATGTTGACCAGATTTTATAGGGGGAGTTATCTATCCTTGCCTAAACTATGCAATACGACTGAATGAATTGTTAATTTTTATCATATTGGAAAAAAAAACTTCACTATTATCCTAGGAAATTAAACCTGTAAAGCAAAAGTGATTTCAAGCTGGCTGCTAACAAGCACGATATTACAATACGAAGCTCAGCAATATATGTGTTATTGATTCAGACTCGAAGCAGTTCTTGCGATACTTCAAGAGTGAGTGAGTGATTATTGTTTTACGCCGCTTTGCAATATTCCAGCAATATCACGGCGGGGATCACCAGAAATGGGATTCACACTTTGTAATCATGTAGGGAATCGAACCCGGGCCTCCTCAGCGTGACGAGCGAACACTTTACCTACAAGACTACCCGACCGCCCCCGATATTTCAAGAAGGGCATGTTCAAAGTTATGTTCATTTAAAGCGACGCAAGAAGAAAAACTGTGATAAAGACATGATATATGAAATACTGGACAGTCGAGGAAGTGTTTCTGTTAGAAACTATAAATATCATAAGTTGTTGAAATATACTGGAATTATTATTAAATTTTATAATGAATGAAGAATGAGCGAGATTGGTTTAACGCCGCTTTGAACAGTATTCCAGTTATATCACGGCTTGTCAGCTAAATGTGCGAGAAAGGTCTGACGCAATCTCATTAAAATCAGATCTTTGTTCTCGCTACCGCTAAACAAAGATCTGAGAGGACATCCCGTTACAGGTCACGTCAGCACGACCTTTCATCCAACCAATCAGAGCGTCGCCTACCAGTTCCTGAAAGTGACAGTCGGAATGTGTTTTCTAATCATGCAACCTCGAAATATTTAACACGGGGTATTCCGAACGACAGTTACAAGTTTTATGATTATATTCATACATTCTAGGCCATCTATGAGCCATTCCAGAATGTTGTTTTGGTCAGTTTTAAATCGAGAATACGTCAAAATATGTTTCGAAGCGTAGTCGCCAGAAACTAGTGCCGTAAAGCTCGAGATAGGTGCCCTCTGATTGGCTAATGTCGATGTCATGTCAGTCATTTCATTGGTCGGTCAATGTTCGCGAAAGGTCGTCCTGACGTGACCCGTAATGGGACATCCTCAGATCTTTGTTTAGAGGTAGCGAAAACTAAGATCTGATTTTAATGAGATTGGGTGCGCCGCGGGCACGGTGCTGACTAACCTACAAACATAATCGGGGCGAACCGGGATTCGAATCCACGATCATAGGTTTCTAACATGATATATAAGCTATTTTTCATCAACTGTTCCTTGTGTTCTATGCCATAACATACATAGTGTCTCTCGCAGAGTTCCGGCATTGTGATGTCCTCGGACGCTTTCCACTTCTTGTACAGAGACCTGCAATAACATAAACAATCATCAATAGTCTGCATGGCTATCGGGGAAATAACTCTCAGTGGGAATTGTAATAGTTATATCACGCCATGTTATCAGTATGGGATGAAAGCCCAAAGTGATTCGTGTCTACATGTTCAGATTGGTGAAACCCACGAGCATGGTGTGATTCTGACAAGATGCTCATGATATTAATCACTGGATTATCTGGTCCAAATCAAAACGTTTTGTGAAGATCCGGGGTAGAATAGGTCGTCACCAACCCTTGCTTGTCGTAAAAGGCGACTTTGCTTGTCGTAAGAGGCGACTAACGGGATCGGGTGGTCAGGCTCGCTAACTTGGTTGATGCATGTCATCGATCCCAAATGCTTGGATCGAGGCTCATCATATCAATCACTGGATTGTCTGGTCCAGACTCGATAATTCACATACCGCCGTCATATGGCTGGAATATTGCTGAGTGCGGCGTTAAACAACCAACCAACCAACCAACCAACCAACCAACCAACCAAGAATCATAATTAGCATTATTCTAGGATTCGAACCCACGATTCAGCGCCGTAAGACCACGGCCAGCACTGACAGGAATCCATATTGGAACCAGTTTCGTCCACGTGACTATTAGGCGATAGAACGCGCAGAGAGTCGAGGACCTATTATAACTGTTCACATGTTTCCGTTTGTCGTTTTCTTCACATCAAAGTTATCTTCCCGAGGCAAGCGTGCCCACTAGCCTGCATCAAAGCCTAGATTTTACCCTTGCCACATCAAGGCCACTTTTCTTGGCTCGACCCTTGCGCCACCTCGCGTAGATCACAAGTTGTGCCCCTTGTAATGAAAACGGGATATCCAATCAGATCGCTGTTCTTATCTCGTATAGTTTCACAAAGATGACGACTACCATAGGCGATGATGCGATTTCATCCCTGACACAAAATCATAGGCAATCGTTGAGTGGTTTACGAGATGAAAAAGACAATTCGTGTCAATAAAGACCGGCATCGCTAAAAACAAATATGTACCAGTCGTGGATGGTAATTTTGTGAAACGTTCTTTGATTGGACTATCGATATGTGCGATAGCCCAATCACATTTAGCGCAGGAAACTGGGCTTGATGTGGCAATGGTAGAAAAAAGACTTTGATAACAAGGCTAGTGGACGCTCTTGTCTCGGTAAGATTCATCAAAGTGTACTCCTAATGTCAATGTTGGGCTCAGAATAATACCCGTTAAGCTGGAATCTGGCGTTACACGGTTAGCAGTGAATTCATGCAATATCACGACTCCATTGCTATCCAAGGTCATTCGTGACCAACTCGTGTTATTCCGGGACAAGCCGAATAGCGACGAATGCTCCAAGGTATAATGTAAGTAGCGGAATATGCCGAATGGACCCTAATTGTCATTCGTCACCACTCGCCCCTTTCCGTAACCTGTAAGAAGACTCGTCCCCCTATCAATGAATGTTATTTGCGAAAATACGACAAACCAATCAGAATGCGCGTATCATTTCAAGTTCTTCGTCAAAGAATCCTTCAGAAATAATTTTTGATTTTACATATGTCTTGCATCTAAAAATATACTCAAGACACAGTTAAATGTGTTCAATCATACTGTATAATTCCACATGTCCCGATATGCTATAAATTGCATCTGAAATATATATGATATGTGGGGAAATATATTGTGAGCCATTACGCAACGAGTTGACAATTATGTTGGGTATGCCCGTTTGCGCTAAGACGGAACCCGGTCGCAAAAATGGCCATGAGAGAGGCACGAGACGCTGTTCGGCTTGTCCCGGAATAACAAGAGTTGGTCACGAATGCCTAATTGTCTGACGGAACGAACGTTTACCAAAGGGACGCAACTCTGCTCAGCGAATTGCGAACTGCATGCTCAGCACAAACTAGACACCAATAGGCAAGAAAGGCGATACACATACCTGCAACAGCGACTACTAATGTAGACGAAGACGATTAGACCCAGGAAGCAGGCGAAGACGATGAGAATAATGAATCCAGCTGCCAGACCTGTGGCATGAAATATAGAAAGAATATATAGAAAGTATATATGAAAAAAACGTTGAGGGGACGACTGAAACTCGTATATTCTGTTTACAAAGCACATGCGTGACCGTTTTTTAGATTTCACATTATAAGTATTAAAATTATTGATATACCGTAGCTGAAGACGACTGAGGGCAGGTCTCTTAAGTGACCCTAAAAAAACATTGTTGTTACAGTTGTTTTACGCCGCAATCAACAATATCCCAGATGTTTCATGGCGGCGGCTTATTAATATACTGATATGGTATGTTATAACCTCTATGTTTAGCAGATACCAGGCTTTACACACCTGACTGAGCCAAGTATCTATTGCCATGTACAGGGAGTTTTACAACGATCAATATCTAAAGACTTTGACGTCATCAAACCGATCCGTCAATTTAATGTGTTGGCCGTAAATCACCTTTGAAAAATATTGGCACTGAAAAACCAATTGTATGTATCTTATCTTGGGTTCGATCTCACGTTCAGCGGTTACCACTGAGTGACGCAACTCTCCATAGCTACAGTGAACTACGGTTATAACGAACACGCTTATAACGAACTGACGGATATAACGGACTATGTTTTTGGTCCTGTCTATTTGCTGTATATATTCCGTACATTTGCTTATAACGAACTACGGTTATAACGAATTAAAATTAGTGGTCTCTTTGAGTTCGTTATAACCGTAGTTTACTTTAGCTAGTTACAGCGCACCATTCCCAAGGCTACCCCCACAGAAACCAACACAAAACGTCACCAATCTCTAGCAAAGCCTCGTTAATCCGGACACAGATAACCCGGGTTCCTCGTCTTCCGGTCTTCCGTGATTCAAATAACATTAAAGAGATGGTTCTGTCGACAGTATATCAAACTTGGGTTGCTTAATGTGTATGGGGTTTTGTTATGGACTGAGGGCGATAGAATCAGAATAGTGGAGCACATCTCACGTGAGTCAATAGGGACGCCGAACTTGGGGTCACTGTAAGGGCCACCCCGTCCCGTGTGAGATATCTGGCGCATCTTCACTGTGTAGTTGAAATCCTTTTTAAGATTCCCAATTACATGGCTGTCCTTCTCACTGGAGATATTCACACTGCCTGGAATGCATGAAACATAATTATATGAACTCGGAAACTCAGATAATCGAACCGGTTTTTTTAAATCGTACTTCAACATAACAGTAAGTGAGTGAGTTGGGTTTTACGCCGTTTTTAACAGTTTTCCAGTTATAGCAAGCGTGTCAGTTTGATGTGGGAGGAAAGCCCGAAGTGATGCAGGTCTCAGACGTTTATCACTTTTGTGAAACCCACGAGCACGGGTATGGTGTTGACAACCTAGAAACATAATCGGGGCGAACCGGGATTCGAACCCACAATCATAGTTTTCTGGCGTGCCCAAGGGACGCAACTCTGCACAGCGAATCGCGGCGCCTTAAAGGTCACCTGTGCCCCCGACAGATATACAACTTAAGCCCACTCAAAGTGCTCCACTATTTCAATTTTGAATAGTTAGAAAGTAATCTTGATTACCAACGATGTAGTTTAACCACTGCCTCCATCGACTGATGGACGTTAACAACAAGGTACTTATCATTAAAGACGTCACGTACCGCACGCAGAGTTCTCGGAGCAATGTTCTATAGAGATGACGGAGATGAAGCCCTGTCCGGAGCATCTGTCCAGCTTCCAACTGACTGTGAGGGCGAGGTCGGGCTTACTTTCAACATCAAAGCTTGTCTTGTCTGGCTTGGCCGGGACTGAAGGATCACAGGATACACATGTACAATATGATCGTCTCATACGTCAGCGTCAGTTGCTAGGGAACCATAACTAATCCGTGAAAGGTACGCTTTATGTATTTGTCCTGAGAATTAACGTTAAAAAATGTAACATAAAAAGAAAAAAAATATTTCCAATAATGTATCCAATACATACCGTCACTATAATTGTAATTACAACGACTTATCGATAGTCCAGAGCTTCCTTTCGCTGTTTCCATGGATACACCAAAACGAATGAGTGCACGATCTTTGCTTTTCATAGGGATGCGTGCGGATCTCTGGGTGCCATTGACAGTTTTCCATTGAATGTCATTCTGTAAAAGATAGAAACGATAGATTATTCAGTTACTAGATTTTAGAAAATGGCGAATCATCTAGGTATTACTATTCCATGTTTCTCCAAATCTCGTAAGACCGCCTCAGTGGTCTAGTGGTAAAGCGTCCACCCAGAGAGCGGAAGGTCCGAGGTTCGATCCCGGTAGTGCCATAAGAAAAGACGTTAAAAGATAGTACTTGTTGATTCCCTGTCTGGCGCTCGGCAGGAAGGGGCTAAAACAAGGACTGATAGGCTCGGTGTCAGTATACTGTCCGGACTAGTATGATTCGGACGATATCAACAGGATGTGTTTTATGAATCATAATACAAAGTGTTCGCGAAAAGGTTAGCGTATCCTTCTCCACCATAAGTGAAACCCATTACGCCAGACCCGTGAAACCCAGAGATCCTTCTTCACCACAAGTGAAACCTATTACACCGGACCCGTAAAAACCAAGAGACACCTCTCCACCATAAGTGAATCCAATTACACCGGACCCGTGAAATCAAGAGATCTTTTTCCACCATAAGTGAAACCCATAGCACGAGACCCGTGAAATCAAGAGATCCTTCTCCACCATAAGTGAAACCCATTACACGAGACCCGTGAAATCAAGAGATCTTTCTCCACCATCAGTGAAACCTCATTACACGAGACCCGTGAACTCAAGAGATCCTTCTCCACCATCAGTGAAACCAATTACACGAGACCCGTGAAACCCGAAGACCACTCACCTTCCTTACTATTAAACATCACAGGAAGTATAAATATAAAGGGACATAACTCCATGCTTATGATACGTTCATCCGAAAGTTCGTATATCCAGACAATGTCACAGTGATGGTAATGTCCGGATAAGTGGGGTTACGATTTCCCCCTAAAAGTTTTGTTTACCTGGCATGTTTTATTTGTTGACCCCCACTGACACCAGAATACTGTCCAGTTGTAAGGTTGGTCAGGCGATGTGGATGTCCAGTACACAGTCACCTCGGTACCGTTCCAAGCACTGATCACATCCGTTGGTGGTTGGACTGAAGACACAATTACAAGGCTTGAGCGTACAGTTTTTGCTTCCACACCCCCTCCCCCAAAACACATACATACATAATAGTCGAGTCTGGACCAGACAATCCAGTGATTGATATGATGAGCCTAGATTCCCGCAACTGGGATCGGTAACATGCATCAACCAAGTCTATCTATCTATCTATTTATCTAGCCTAGATTCCCGCAATTTGGATCGGTAACATGCATCAACCAAGTCTATCTATCTATCTATCTATCTATCTATCTATCTATCTAGCCTAGATTCCCGCAACTGGGATCGGTAACATGCATCAACCAAGGCTATCTATCTATCTATCTATCCATCCACCCATCCATCCATCCATCTATCTATCTATCTATCTATCTATGGATGAAAAAAATGGGGCACACCTAGCACTATAGCAGGAAGTGCACTACTGTCTGTATTTACTTACCGTTCTATTGTTTGTTATAAGTACTCATCATGTTTGTGTTTCAGTGATAATCAGTTCCAAAGAATATTGAGTTTATGCAAATTATCTGAATTCATAATAGGTGAATTTCACATTACATTCGTATGAAATAAAAGATCCAACGATCGGAATTTTGTGAGAATCAGATTGTTAGCTAAATTTGTATTTGCATTGGTGGTCAAAGTATAAATAAAACAGTTTGAAGAAGCGTATTTGAATGTTAGCAGCAATTAACGTTACTAATCAAAATGCTACTGAATCTGTTTTTGAAACGTGATACATTCAGGACATAAACCATAAAGAAACGCCCAACACGTAACAAGAATACATCGCATGTTTGTCCAGTTACGTAGACAACATTGGATCTTTGAAAGGTTAACTGTTTCTTCCGGTTAGTTATGATAATTTATGTTAACAACGTAAGATTGTGTCAATTGGGTTCAACGCCGTTTCGGGGGCACGGTTGGCCCAGTCATCTAAGGCGCAGCGATTCGCTGCGCAGAGTTGCGTCCCTTGGGCACGCCAGAAACCTTTGATTGTGGGTTCGAATCCCGGTTCGCCCCGATTATGTTTCTAGGTTTGTCAACACCATACCCGTGCTCGTTGGTTTCATCAAAGTGGTAAACATCTGACACTTGCATCACTTCGGGCTTCCCTCCCACATTAAGCTGACACGCCGTGATATAACTGGAATACTGTTAAAAGCGGCGTTAAACCCAACTCACTCACTCACTCACTCACTCGACGCCGTTTCGAACAGTATTGGTGTCAAGCCACGGCGTGTAAGCTTGATATGGAGAGAAGCCCGTCATGATGCAGGTCAGACTTTAACCACTTCGATGACAACCATCGTATGGTGTTGAAAACACCTTGAAACATAATCAGGGCCAATCTGAGATTCGAACTTTCTTTCGTAAGATCCTTGCACGCCTAAGGGACGCAACTCTGCACAACTAAATGCAGGGCCTTAAACGACAGGGCCACCCCTGCCCTCTAATCATGTGGAGTGTGAGGTTGCCTGATTAAGAAGGTTTTGTTAAATAAGGGCCCCAATACACACCGTCCCCGAGTTTGGGTATGCGCAGAGAAGACGTTGGGGAAGTTCCGGCGGCGTTAGATGCTGATATCGAGATGACGTAGTCAACGTTGCAGTTGAGGTCGTCAAGTAAAAGTGTTGTAGTTGTCGCTGGACAGACGATTACCATGCCCGTGTTGTTACAAAGCGGCATCATGTAGCTCGTTAAAACCACGGCCTTTTCCATGGTGTTAGTGAACAGCCTTATCTTGTAGTTCGTTAAAATTCCATTGTGGGATTCCTTTGGCGGTGCCTGAAATAATCCACGGGGACTGTGATCAGTGTTTAAACAAAGGTTTTCGCAATGTATCCACGATGGGAATCGAACACTGACCCCTCGGCATGAACAAGCGATTGCTTTAGCTACTGGGCCACCCAAATGAATTAAAAAAAATCCAGGGGTACATGTATGCAAATTTTATACTTTGAATAGAATAACTCGAAAGGTTATGCATAAAAGTACTTGCACGTGCCTTTATAAAAACAGAAATATTCCTCTTCCCGTCGATGCAGTCGTGCGCGAGGAAGCTGCCTTCAGTCACGTTGGGTGCTGCCTCGGGTGCTGCGTTTATACATAATAATCTTAAAACGTTACTACATTATTTCTTTATACATGAGTGAATTATTGTTTATATGTATGTATGTTTGCTATCTATATTATGTATTGCTTTGCTACTTTCTGTATTTTGTAATTCGCAACACACATACCTCAACACTGTACCTTTTTGGAATGTTATTTTTATTTTTTATTTTTAATCCAAAAGGATTGAGGTGATATACTTTCCCAAAGAACGAGTTTTCATTGAGGCCGTTTTGAGAAAAGGATCGAATGAAAAATTGTAAAGTTACGGAAAACGTATGAAATTAATTGGACATTTGACACGTTGTTATTTGCCCTGAACAATACATGTGCTATGACATTGTTTTTATTGCAATTTGTGTAGCCGCAATCGCATAATACAGATTTCTTATGAATATTGAAAAAGTTTTGTCGCTTTTATTGTGAAATATATAAATGTCCGGTTTCCCGCTTTAAAGAAAATAATATACATGTATATCTTTAAGTTGTGCCCAAAACAATATTCTGCCTCTATGAAAAATAGCCCCTCACAGAATATTAAATGGCATTCTCCGAATACTATCATTGCGAGTATCAACTTACCATCTTCACCAGTGGAGTTAGAAACTGTCCTCGGCTCACCCGGGTACCCGTGCCGAGCGGTGGCGGACATGGCCGAGACAGAGAAGTCGTACTTCGTGTTTGGTCTCAGGTCGCTGATCGTGATTTGATTCTCCGACGTGGTTACTGTCATATTCTGTGATAAATGAAGGTTGATAAGGCAATAATATATAGTTGTTTGCAGCATCTACTTGACATGACGAATGAATCAATGTCTTGTACAATATCGGTTGACAAAGTAGAAAAAAACCCTGTATTTCAAATACTTGGGGAATTACATTGTAAGGCATATATACATGTAACGGCAATTTAACAGTTAAGCATTGCAATAAAAAAAAACCCCGCAACATCTCTGGTTGTTACTATTGCCCCCCCCACCAACAACAGCATATACAGACTACACAGGACATGAAACACGTGATGGACAGCAACACACAAGCTAGGTCCCATCTGAATGAAGGTAAAAGAGGCCATCATTTACGTAAGACCCGGTGTAGAATTGGTTTTCACCAACCCATGCTTGCCGTAACTGGCGGCTATACTTATCGCAAAAGGCAACTAACGGGATCGGGTGGTCAGGCTTGCTGACTTGGAATTGGTTGATGCAGGTCATCGTATCCCAATTGCTTAATCGATGCTCATGATGTCAATTACTGAATTGTCTGGTCCAAACTCGAATACTTACAGACCGCCGTCATATAGCTGGAATATTGCTGAGTGCGGCGTTGAACAACAACGTTAGAGATCGGATGGTCAGACTCAGTTGTCTGTCTGATCACGTGTCATCGTACCTCGATGGCGTCCATGGACCTGCCTGTTTTGATTCACTGGTTAGCCTGGTACTGACGCTATTATTTACCGTCAAATTGTTGATAATTCGCGTTGCTCGGTAAATTCGCTCACATCCTGGGGTACTGATATATATGCCATTTATGAATCGAATAATAAACATGAACTTACGGATGTAGCTGATCTTGTGATGACTGTGAAGGTCAGATTTCTTCTATTGGTGTTGTTTCCCCACTTCAACGTCACGTCACGACTGGTGACACTGATAAGTTCTAAGGCCATCACAGGCGCTGGTCGCACTACGAGAACATTCAGTAATTTAAGATTAGAAATAGCGTTTGATGCATTCTTATGCGAAGTGAAATGCTAAGAAAAACAGTTTAATTGAGGCTTTGGATATTATAACCTTGATCAAACAACTTCTGAGCAAGAGTTGTATGACGTCGTTTGAAATCTTTGTGGAAAGAGCATGCTCTATTGTACCTCAAAACTTGTTAAATGGTCGACATAAAGGGGGAGTTGACTACTGAAAAGTTGAAGTCATCCCGCTTGTCATACAGTGACAATAGTATGGAGATATATTTATTACCTTTGATAATCGAGGATGGAATCTTACTGTAATGTAGACATGTAATAGTAGTATCCTTATCACAGGTAAATACCCTACAATATCAGTATGCCACTTATAGTTTCCTGTGATCCCGTAGGATAATCGAGAATAGAATCCTGCACGAATCCTGATATAACCTTATGTCCTACCATAATCCTCTGGGTCAACCGTGAAGGGCATGGACAACGAGTCCTTGACCTTTTTGTTCGTCACAGTGATGTTGAATGTCAGATTTCCCGTCGGGGTGTAGGAGGCGTTGAAACACGATGTCGTATTGCTCACGCTGCAGTTGTGCCATCTACAAAACCATATTGATAAAACTAGAAATCAAACGTTTTTTTATAAATTGCTGTTGTTGTGTAAAACATGTATGTATTTGCCAAAACCTGATTCACACTGCACATTACAATGTTAAAGTAATGTTATTGCCGAATATATTGATATTGTCAGTTGAAGAAATTTGTCACGTTGAAGTTGTGCCATGTACAAACCAACATTTCGAAAATAAGGTCAAAGATAGGAATCAAATTCACTAGGCATAGTTACAAGTGCAAAAAGTACAGTACAAAAGGATTTTTAAATGAAAAATCAAAATGTTTGTGTAAACCAGTTTCAAATGTGCCAACATAAAACATGATTCACACTACTACATCAAATGTATTTCATAGACATACATTGCCAATTGAATACATACATGTACCATTGCTTAATTTATCGACCCCCCTGTCGACAGAAAGAATAATCAAGTCATTAAAACTTTTTAATTCGTTATTATTGTGCATTTGAACTTGTGGGTGATCCTAGATTTGCAGCATGGTATAACTCAAGCAGTACCATACCAAAAGGGGCAGTAAAAAACCCCATTCGGTTTCATGATCTTTAGAAAAATAACATTTTAGATAAGAATTGTGCTCACCAAAAAACGAGCATAAGAGATGCTGAATTAGTATTAATAGATATTTACATACATGTTATTGTGTTTTGATATATGTTGCAGTATGTGGACATGTTTTGTCATACCCTTCCTCAGACGCTGCCCTCCAGACAGTGGTCATACTGATGTCCCAAGGGTGGAGGTACCCGCCCGTGTCCCACGACACCGTCACATTGTTCCAGTCGTTGAGGAGGATCTTCAGGTCCGTCACGTTTTGAAGAGGATCTGAATTGAGATGGCATGTTTGTTACGTTGTCAAACGATACGCATTTGTTTAAAACTATACCGATATTATTCAGGAGAATATATTTAAAGATTATTATATAATTGAATTAAGGAAGATTCATTGACGTTGAATAAAAATCGAAACATATTGTAGTATAGAATTACGTTTGAAACAATCTGTATAAACACTGTTTTATAAAACTTGAAAATGTAGGCAATACACCTACAGGGAACATATGATAAAAAGCTGTCAAAAATGATAAATATACGACAAGTTGTTCCATTAACCACTGATGTTCACGTAGTTTTATGAAGAATATTTATACTTTGGGCTTACTTTCAAGGACAATTGTTTGACGTCGGTTCTCTCCCATCGGGTTACACATCATAGTTACACCATCGAAGGAAGTGTTACTGATTGGCATGTGAAGCTGCAGAACGTTGTCTGCAATAAGCCGCTGGTACTCCTTTGGAAGGAGCTTATCATTTCCATACGTGAAATACGCTTCCTCCGATGTGTCAGCCAGGGTACAGTTGAGAGTCAGGTTGCTGCCAATGATGACATACGGGTCATCCGGCTGTACACCTAGAAATAATGTATTTTGATTTGTTAACAGAAACGGGTGTACATTGTTTGAAAGAGTGAGTGAGTGATTTGGGTTTAACGCCGCTTTTAACAGTATTACAGTTTTATCACGGCGTGTCAGCTTAATGTGGGAGGAAAGCCCGAAGGGCTGCAGGCCTCAGACCTTTACCACTTCGGTGAAACCCACGAGCACGGGTATGGTGCTGACAAATCTAGTAATAAAATCGGGGCGAAACGGGAATCGAACCCACAATCATAGGTTTCTGGTGTGCCCAAGGGACGCAACTGTGCACAACGAATCGCGGCGCCTTAGACGACTGGGCCACCCGTGCTCCCTGTTTGAAAGAGAAATATGAGTATGGATAAAGAGGAGTCAGTTTAGGACATATAAATCATGATTGATAATCCTTCACGACAACATTAACCTGAGACCGCCTCCGTGATCCAGTGGCTAGAGCGTCTCATCGGAGAGCGAAAGGTCGTTGATTCCATCCCCGGTCGTGTCACTCCAACAGACGCTAAAAAAGGTACTTGTTGTTACCCTGCCTGGCGCCCGGCGTTATTGGGTTGAAACAAGGACTGGTCGGCACGGAGTCAGTTTTGAGTGTCTGATTGGGTTATTCGTGTTTAAACTGTGGCATGGTATCTCAGTGGGTTGGCACTATAAAACCGGCATGAATTCGGACTTGTACAAGCAGCCACACACACACACTCGCAGAAACGTGTATGCTCGTCGCTATAAGTGCAATAAGTTAAAAATATGAGTGGACGTAAACCCCATTTCACATCACCTCACACTACGGAAATAATATTCAGAGTGGCGTTACCAGACTCACTCACTCGCTATAGTTGCCCGTAGCAAGTAGGATCTAGAATGGGATAGCAGTCTGGTTCAAATCCATGGTGTCATACGCCTTCCTCGGAAAGGATGATATCAATTTATATTATAACACTTACTTTTTACAAAAAGAATGACTTTTGTTGGATCACTGAGGAATATATTTATAATATTACACGTACTTTCCTTAGAAAGAATGAGATCAAACGTTGTTGGATCACTGAGGAATATATTTATTATTTTACACTTACTTTCCTTAGAAAGCATGAGATCAAACGTTGTTGGATCACTGAGGAATATATTTATTATTTTACACTTACCGTTTACAGAAAGAATGATTGTTGTTGGGTCACTAAGGAATATATTTATTATATTACACTTACATTGTACCTTCCTTAGAAAGAATGATTGTTGTTGGATCACTGAGGAATATATATATTATATTACACTCACCTTCCTTAGAAAGAATGAGATCAAACGTTGTTGGATCACTGAGGAATATATCTATAATATTACACTTACCGTTTACAGAAAGAAAGATTGTTGTTGGATCACTGAGGAATATATTTATTATATTACACTCACCTTCCGTAGAAAGAATGAGATCAATCGTTGTTAGATCACTGAGGAATATATTTATTATATTTCACTCACCTTCCGTAGAAAGAATGAGATCAAACGTTATTATTGTACACTTACCGTTTACAGAAAGAATGATTGTTGTTGGATCACTGAGGAATATATATATTATATTACACTCAGCTTCCTTACAAAGAATGAGATCAAACGTTGATAGCACTGAGGAATATATCTATAATATTACACTTACCGTTTACAGAAAGAATGATTGTTGTTGGATCACTGAGGAATATTTTTTTATTTTACACTTACCTTGTTCAGAAAGAATGAGATCAATCGTTGTTGGATCACTGAGGAATATATTTATTATATTACACTTTCCTTCCTTAGAAAGAATGAGATCAATCGTTGTTGGATCACTGAAGAATATATTTATTATTTTACACTTACCTTCCTTAGAAAGAATGAGATCAAAAGTTGTTGGATCACCGAGGAATATATTTGTTATATTACACTTACCTTTTACAGAAAGAATGATTGTTGGTGGATCACTGAAGAATATATTTATTATTTTACACTTACCTTCCTCAGAAAGAATGAGATCAATCGTTGTTTAATCACTGAGGAATATGTTTATAATATTACACTTTCCTTCCTTAGAAAGAATGAGATCAATCGCTGTTGGATCACTGAGGAATATATTTATAATATTACACTTACCTTCCTTAGAAAGAATGATTGTTGTTGGATCACTGAGGAATAAATTTATTATTTTACACTTACATTCCTCAGAAAGAATGAGATCAATCGTTGTTGGATCACTGAGGAATATATTTATCATATTACACTTACCTTCCTTAGCAAGAATGATGGTTGTTTGATCACTGAGGAATATATTTATAATTTTACACTTACCTTCCTCAGAAAGAATGTGATAAATCGTTGTTTAATCACTGAGGAATATATTTTATAATATTACACTTACCTTCCTTAGAAAGAATGATTGTTGTTGGATCACTAAGGAATAAATTTACTATTTTTCACTTACCTTGTTCAGAAAGAATGAGATAAATCGCTGTTGGATCACTGAGGAATATATTCATTATATTACACTTACCTTTTACAGAAATAATGATTGTTGTTGGATCACCGAGGAATATATTTATCATTTTACACTTACCGTCCTCAGAAAGAATGATATCAACCGTTGTTGGATCACTGAGGAATATATTTATTATATTACACTTACCGTCCTCAGAAAGAATGATATCAACCGTTGTTGGATCACTAGGGTATCCATCTTGAGCCGGGTGGTATTCAGCCGTTACAGTGAATGTGTAGTGAGAGTTTGATTGCAGGTCAGAGACATCCATCTTGTTCTGGGTAGTCATGTTGGAACTCCGCTTTGAAAAAATATCGAATAAGTAACTTGTTAATTATATATGGATACACGTTAGACAACAACGGGTATCATTGTATAACTTATCGGGAGTAAATATCAGGGATATGTCAACGGAATGCTTCAATTAACAGAAGGCCTTTAACATTTAAAGAAAGATGAATTGTAGAAGCTATTGTTGTAAAATATTAGTGATCTTCAAATCACCAAATTGATGAGTCTTGCATTTTTCCAGAAATGTCAGTGGGATTGTTTTGTAAGGGCACGAGAAAAGAATAGGAAACAAGCCGTTGAGTCATGGGTGTATCCATGTCTTTATACATAGCATGAGAAGACCGATATCTTACATTAGGTCATGCATAATCAAATAGTTTCATTATCTCGTGTCTCAATGTGCAATAAAGAGTGAGTGAGTGAGTTATGCTGGTAATAGGCGTTTACCATTTTCTTGAAACCCACATGCACTGGTATGGTGCTTACAAACCTATAATATTTTAGCATAAGGACTTAGCAGTAATACAGCGCCTCTTTGTTGCTTACTGAACTGTCGTAGCCTTATGCCATTCTACCTCATATGATTCATAAACAAAGAGTTAGTAATATTGACTAAATACCGACAAGGTTGTCCCATAACACGACGGTTACCCTCAATACACCACGCTGCTGGTTGACGAGAGACCATGCTACACAATTACACCTGACTTACAAACGTGGAATTCCGTGTGACGATTGTGAACGTGAGGGATCTGTTTCCGGCCTCCGGTTTCCAACGGAGTTCCACCTGACGTCTGCTGAAGAGGACTTCGGCGTCGAGGGACGTTACAGCCGCAGGCTTCACTGAAAGAACACGCCCATACAGTTCGCTATTCTGTTGCATAAAATGTAGACATTTCCAAGTCACGGAGGACTTTTAAAAGCTTTTTCAGAGCTGCTTCTTGCTCCTTATTAAACCTGATGCAAGAGGATGAAGGAGCAAGAAAGTAGCTATGAAACGTCGTGGCAAAATATAAAAGAAAATGTCATCCAAAAAAGTGCATGTATTCATGATCTTCCAACTTCTAAAAGCCCCTCAAAGACTTTATCCGGATGCTGTATTGATTGCATTCTGGGATATTATTTCGTCGCCATTGGCTAAACAAAGTCATACAGGCTCTGTGGCTAATCTAATGTTTCTATACAGACTACAGACTCCCCTTGTCAACCTGCATACTTAGCATTATCTGTAACTATAATTCGAGTGTGAAATTTGTATTTTAGTCGTAAACACATGCCCATGATGAAGTCGGACACTGGACGCTGCTCTTAGCCAATATTTCTCATGATTATGAAAAGGTTTTGTCGCTTTTTTATGTAGTTTACTAGAACATGTGATGCTCATATGTTCGGACAAACAGTACATCGAAAGTAGTAACTTCAGGTTCATGATGTTAAATACATGGAGATCTTTCAAAACTTTATGTGGTCAAAATAACGCTGACTTACAGTATATATGCAACTCAACCATTGATAAGACAACGATACCGTTCTGTTAGATGTGAGGTGAGGTGACATTGGGTTTAACGTCGCGTCCAGGATTATTGCACTTATAAATCGACGTGCATGCACGTTTGTGTGTGTGGCTGCTTGTACCAGTCCGGACTGAGGCCGATTTATAGTGCTAGCTCACTGAGATACCATGCCGCAGTTTAACATGAATACCCCATTCAGACACAGTATAATGACTCCGAGCAGACCAGTCCTTGCTTAGCCCCTTAATGCCGAGCGCCAGACAGTGTAACAACAAGTACAATCTTTTAACGTCTTTTGGTATGACGCGGCCGGGGATCGAAACCCAGACCTTCCGCTCTCCGGGCGGACGCTTTACCACTAGACCACGGAGGCGGTCCCGTTCTGTTGGAAAGCTTACAGGAGAGCTACTTATGTGTCTTGCTTCAAAAGAAGCTGAAAGTAAGTATTGTCCACGGGTAAATGGAATGCTCATTATATATGACATGTCCAAACAATCAGACACATTCAAACCCAACTGATAGACATGTAATAGTAGTATCCTTATCAGAGGTTAATACCCTACAATATAAGTCTGCCACTAACAGTTTCCTGTGATCCCGTAGGATAATCGAGAATAGAATCCTGCACGAATCCTGATATAACCTTATGTCCTACCATAATCCTCTGGGTCAACCGTGAAGGGCATGGACAACGAGTCCCCAACCCTTGTGTTCGTCACAGTGATGTTGAATGTAAGATTTCCCGTCGGGGTGTAGGAGGCGATGAAACACGATGTCGTATTGCTCACGCTGCAGTTGTGCCATCTACAAAACCATCAAAATAAAAACTTTTTATGAATTGTTTTTGTTGTTTTGTAAAACATTCATATATTTTTCCTAAACTTGATTCTAACTGCAAATTACAATGTTGAAGATATATCATAGCAGACATTGTTGATCAGACATAAAACACGACTGACACTACAACATATATATTATATTTTATGTAAGATGTTCTTGAAAGTTAACCATTCTGGTCGACATACATTGCCAATTCATGACGTACTATTGTTGCATTTATCGATTACCCTGTCCGCAAGTCATTTAAATTTATTAATTTGTAATTATTGTGCATTCGAATTTATGGCTGATCCTAGATTTGCAGCAGGGTAACCATCTTCTATCTTACCCTCCCTCAGACGCTGCCCTCCAGGCAGTGGTCACACTGATGTCTCGGGGGTGAAGGTACAGGCCCGTGTCCCAGGACACCGTCACATTGCTCCAGTCGTCAAGGAGGACCCGCAGTCCCGTCACATTGTGGAGAGGATCTGTAATGAGAGAAGTGAGTAAGAGGTTTTCCTGAATCATATCTACTGTCAGTACGGTCTCGGATAAGAACAACACCCAAGCATTTTATTCCTTGATATCAGTTGCAACTAAAATATATCGGCTTATGAGCTTCAGTGACTCGGTTGATTGCTCCAAATATTAAACCATTAGTTTGTCTGGCAATTTACGTTTACCGTGACGGGAATATAACGGACGGAGACGTTCATCAATATTAGCTCATTCACTATCAATCACTTTAAAGGTTTGTGAAACGTCCAATCCCAAATTGTAACGCAGTATTGAACATTGCATTATTCAGTGAACAAAACAATATACTGTTTCTGTACAAATCAAATGCAAATTCGCGATAAAAAACGAAATCGAAATATGGCAGTGAAGTGACCGAAAGTGAATTTTGATCTTTCTGCATTTCAGGTCTGAGGAGATATGGTTCCACTGCAGGCAATTCGGTGCGGAGGATCTTAAATTAGCTGGTGTCGGCGGCGTAAAAAAGATACTTCATTCCAAAACCCATTTCTAAATAGATATAAAAAATCAAGTCTCAAAAGACAACCAAAAGGAATATGTTCTGTCCCTCAATAAAGAAAAGTAACATTGTGTCCATGAAGATACATATAGCTAAAAAGATTGTTATTATAGGTTCTCAGTACCAATGCTTGTCTAAAGGAGAATCATCAATGAGGAATGGATGGCTGCAATGTATGAAATCATACCATGACAATTATTGCATTTGACACAACAATGACATATGGCACGACAACAACATCATATAGCACGACAACAACCTCATATAGCACGACAACAACATATAGCACGACAACAACATCGTATAGCACGACAACAACATCATATAGCACGACAACAATAAAGGGATAAGAATGGATATTTTCGCTTTCAGCTGAAACTTCTTTGTAATGGAGCGTGCTCAATAATTTGGGGGTGTTAAGGGAGAAGCCATGATATTTTAACAAATTCAAATCCGCGGAATTATCACCCCTAACAATAGCATATAACATAGAACACGACAATAGCAATGACACAACACCAATAGCATATCACTCGACACCAATAGCATATGACACGACAACAATTTCGATTGGTTCGTTTTGGCTGCTTGGAGTCTAACTTACATTCAACAGTAACGTTCTTGCTGCCTATCACTGTGTCATTTCCGTGCCAGCAAAAGACAGCAGCTTCCGCCAATGTCTCGTTGACTGGCAGGACCAGCTGTAGGGTGTCCTCGGAGATCACATGCTGGTACCCTGAAAGGCCCGTTTGATGTCCCCAAGTGAAGAAAAGATCAGAAGAACTCCCATTGTCTGAGTCGACAAGGGTGCAATTCAAGGTCAGGTTCCGCCCAACAAGGACAGAGAGATCACCCGGCAACAAGCCTGGAATTGATGACGAACAGTTTTGATATAAATCTAATAACGATTGGCATGTAGTTTCTGCTAGCAAATATAGTTACCATTCATTCTTTTGCATAGGCACCAAATGAGAGAGAGAGAGAGGGCTTATAAAACAGATTTCAGATCAAGAGGACTTACATCCCTTACACTGGGCACAATCTGGATCACAGATGTGGGCAACAGACAAGCCCCACGTCATCAGTAGAACCACCAATGTATCCATGCGCCCCTGTAATGGTTTTATGCTTCACTCACTACCTGCAAACAGATAGCTGTCAGTTCTAACTTCACAAGAAGAAAAAGAAGAAGAAGAAGAACAAGAACAAGAACTACAACAACAATACAGTAAACTGCGTTTAAAACGAACACGGAGATAACGAACTTATTCTTGGTCCCGGTTTATATGCTGTATATATGATTAGAACGAACTACGGTTATAACGAGCTAAAATTAGTGGTTACTGTCAGTTCGTCATAACAGTAGTGTGCTGTAATAGATCTGATCACAATCAATCTGAGAGGCTTGTCATGCAAATAAGGTTAAGTCTTTTGTTCCGGATATTTTTTATTGAAGATGAGGGGTGGATATCAGCCCAGACACTGAGGAACCAACCGTTCACCCGCTGAAGGTATTCGCGCTAGACGACTAGTTCGGGGTGTCATTTTGACGGACCTGCACCGTCGGCTGCGACGTCAATGGTGTCAAGGTCACAAAGTATGGCCACAACTGCGATGGTTCAGTGACGAGTCACGTTTTATGCTTCGCCGTGCGGATGGTAGACGTCGTGTTTACAGGCGTCGCGGGGAATATTATGCACGAAACTGCAAACAGGAAGTGGACAGATTTGGTTGTGGTAGTGTGAATATTCGGGCGGACATCTCCTACAGTGGTAGAACAGACTTGGTGCAAGTTCTGGGGAATTTAACAGCACAACGTTACAGGGATGTGATTCTTCAGTCCCACGTAGTCTCCACTATACAACACGCGAACGTCATTTTCCAACATGACAACGCCCGACGATGAGTCACAACATCAAGGTCCTGCCATAGCCCTCCAGGTTTCCAGATATAAACACAATTGAACATTTCAGGAATGACCTGGATCAACGACTGTGAGCACGTCAGCAATGACCACAAAACCTCCGACAGTTGGCACAAGCGCTGCAGGCAGAGTGGGTGAACATTCCCCAGGCCACAATTCGGGATCTTATTGCTTCCATGGGACGACGATGCCAGACAGTTTTGAACTCCAATGGTGGCCACGCACGATATTGAAGATGACCTTTTCCTTAAATATCTACTGTTCCTGGTGTGCCATATGAAGCTGGGTCAATGTCAACACGACGTGTACCAATTTTGAACAATGGGTTACCATCTGTTGATTATTGATATGATATATAAAATATACATCTCAAATCACTTTTGTGTTTCGTTGTTTGCAGAGTATAAAAGAACACACAGAGGGCGTATATAGTATCTTAACGCTTAACGCTTAAGCAGGACATCTGTAAAATGTATGATAGTATTTATCAGGTAAAGTTAACATCATCATCAAACCTGGTGGAATAATTTTTCCACGTTGATGTCATCTAGGTGAACAAGAGACGTAAGATCACCTTCCTACCAACCGCATAGCCACCTTCTAATTCCGCCTCGCAGTTAGACGTCCTGCATGGCCGTCGGATCAGCTAAACTAACCTACCCTTATATCTAATGTAGTTGCAAGCATTGGCTGAATATTGCATAATGTCCTTCTGAATAGATAAAAACACCAGGAAAATTATGCTCCTCTAGGTCCGGTGGAAAAGCCAAATAAGGATGTGTTAGCAGCTGTTTCAGTTCTACTGAAAGTATTGAATAACACATTTGAACCTGGGTTGGATTTGAATTGCCGCCGTCGATCTTTCGACCCCAGGTGAGTGAACATGTTCAATGAACGGTTGTTGTTTCCTTGTTGCAACTGTTGATACATCCTCTAAATGCGGGACATAAAGACCCTTAGGCTGTTATGAGAGTCACCTTCATAATAATTTTCTGCTTTCTCATTTTGCTAAGACATTTCATTGAAAAAGAGAAAAATACTACTCAGACATCGCGTACGTTTTTATACATTCTACATCATTTTCATCACTATTATTAGAATTAAATCCGTTGTTACTTGTTTCTTAAATGCCTCGATTTGTTTTGTACACGTACTTGCAACTACGAGTTTTGAGGAATAACTGATATCACGAAACCAATATATCTCCAACTCTCTCGACACATTCCCCGCCGGCCGCAAAATGCAAAACAGCGGTAAAAACTATACTCTTCAGAAAAGAAAAAGAAACGCAAAGGCAGATTTGTATGAATAAGGAAAATACATTCACACGAGGAGCCGTACAAGGTATTGAGCCAAACTTTTGTTCAGAGAACACTTGGTGATTGTAGTCATCTCAGTTATCGGTATATAGGAAAAGTCCAAGGTGAAGGTCAGCTACCATCAATAACGCGTATATCCCCCGTTGGAATCGATAGTGGCGTGACATCTCCTGCTAATGGAAGAGACTAGTATGCGAATCACATCCTGGGGAATGGTAGACCACTCGGTCTGCAACGTAAAAGCCAACTGCTGCAACGCCTGGGGTTGTGGTTGACGTCAGCGTAGCCGTCTATCCAATTCATCCCACAGTTGCTTATCCGGTTCAAATCCGGGGATCTGGAGGACCAGGGGAGAACATCAACGTTGTTGTTGTGTAGACAGGCTCTTGTGATCCTTGCTGTATGCGGTCGAGCGTTGTCCTGCTGGAATACACCGTAATTGGCTGCAATTGGGAGGGCGTGTGGTAGTAGAATTTCGTTGATGTATCGTTGAGCCGTAAGATTGCCCTGGATATGAACCAAATCTGTCCTGCCATGAGGAGAGATAGCCGCCCACATTATAACGCTACCCCTACCAAACCTGTCCACTTTCTGTACGCAGTTACTGGCGTAACGTTCTCCTCGACGTCTGTAGACCCGTGCTCTTGCATCCCCTCGACGCAGAAGAAATCTTGATTCGTCGCTGAACCAGTTGAGGCCATACCCTGTGTTGACGACGCCAATGCAGTCCTAGTTAACGATGTTGTCGACTCAATATGACGCTGTTGCTCTTAAAAGGTTTCCTACGGTCTGGTACGGTCTGGACGGAAATTTTGCTCTTTGGGATTTGGGATGCTTTTGAGGTGGCTGTGGTCGTCCTTTCAGGTAGGTGGCGCAGTCAGATGTAGCAATCTTGGGCTAGGGTGGTTACTCTTGGTCGTCCCGACCGTGGCCGATCACGTGTTGACCAATGCTGTTGAAACCGATCCCATAGACTTGTGATCCTGCTGGGCGCTACATTGAAAACCCTGGCTACAGCTGATCGGGATTCCCTTGCCTGCAAGCGGCATATGAAGTTATTTCTTTGCACTTTTGTTAATCTTGACATGTTGTTGAACTGTCACTGTTCGATTGACGCAGATGCCAGGCAATCAAAAGCCCTGCACTTTAACACTGTTCATAGTGCTGCTGCACGGGAAGTACGTTCAGCTCCATGGCCCTTTTGTTAATGCACTGGGTGCGTTTTTTTCCGAATCGTTGGTGTTTCCAGACTAATGGTTTGTATGACCTTGTGATCATTTTGCACCCGGGGAATTTGTTACTGACACTCTAACACAGTAAACATCTTCATTTTGCACCTCTTGGTCCGCCAATTTTGCTTTTATAGCCAAAAATATCCGTATTGCGTTTCTTTTTTTAAGAGCAAATATGAAAGGAACACTGAAAGTCAGTGATGACATAAGGTGATCGCAAAAAGTGTAAACATGTCCCGTTCCACTTGCACCACCATCCACTCACAGACTTTACATTGAAAATTATTTGCCTGTTTATTTTTCCTGGACCGCCTCCGTGGTCTAGTGGTAGAGCGTCCGCCCGGAGAGCGGAAGGTCCGGGTTTCGATCACCGGCCGCGTCATACCAAAAGACGTTAAAAGATGGTACTTCTTGTTACTCTGTCTGGTGCTCGGCATTAAGGTCAAGTCGGTGCGGAGTCAGTATACTGTGTCTGAGTGGGGTATTCATGTTAAACTGCGGCATGGTATCTCAGTGTGCTAGCACTATAAATCGGCATCCCCCCCCCCCCCCCCCCCCCACACACACACACACACACACATACACACCTGCATGCACGTCGCTATATAAGTGCAAGAATCTTGGACGCGACGTTAAACCCCATTTCACCTCACCTCACCACCTATTTTTCCTAACGCTACAAATAATCGAGTCTAGACCAGACAATCCGGTGATACAGAGTCTGGCCCTGACAATCAAGTGACAGGATAGCGGCTTACTGATTTTATTGAAACTAAAAACGATATGTTAACTTTGAATTCCTTCTGCTGCGTATGGTGAACAGATCTGCTGCGTACAAGAGAAACACTTTAGATATATGTTCGTTTGTGCAAATTAGTAAATGCGACAAAACCATTTCCATATTCATGGAAGAAAGCTTTTATCCCAAACAGAGTCGATTGTACGACTCCTACTATATCAAGAGAATGTGATATTGGAACATCAAATATATTTGCATCGAGTTTCAAATCATTCCCTGACATGTTACATCTGATGCTATTTACTGTGCCCGATGGGTTGGAACAACAATAGGAAATTAGCAAAGCACACTTAATTTATAAAATATCACAACCATATATATATTATCACAACCATGGGAATAGCATATCAAACATAACATATAAACCATTGAAGCCATAGGAATAACAAAGCACACACAATAAACAAACTGTCAAAACCATAGAAATAGCCTAGCAAACATAACATATAAACTATCACAGCCATATGAATAGCAAAGGGCACACGATATGTAAACTATCACAAAGATATTTAAAGCGAAGCCCACTTACTATAATAACTATAACAACTATAGGAATAGCACGGCACGCACAATATATCAACTATCACAACTATAGGAATAGCACGGCACATACAATATATTAACTATCACAACTTTAGGAACAGCACGGCACACACAATATATCAACTATCACAACTATAGGAATAGCAAAGCACACATACTATATAAACTATCACAACCACAGGAATAGCACGGCACACAAACATATAAACTATCACAACTATAGGAACAGAAAAGCACACACAACATATAAACTATAACAACCATAGGAAGAGATAAGCACACACAATATATAAACTATAGCAACCATTGGAATAGCAAAGCGCA